GCATGCATGCATGTATGCATGTAAGCTATGTGCTTATGTATCCATGTGTGCTTGTGGGTATATACACACACATGGTGTAGAGATTACACTCCTTAGTTATATAGTGTAATGTCTACGTCGGGTTCGATTCTGGAGATGTGCGGATGGTATCTGAGTCATGCTTATCCGACTTCACATCTGCATGCATTGCGGACGCCAGACACCTCGCTGGCAGTAGCTACGAGCAGGTGTAAGCGATGGTTAAGATGTCATCTTAGAGGCCGATGGCAGTTGCTACGCCCGGCACGGGAGGGTATTCATGTGGCTGAGGAGCAGCGAGCCTCGGGGTTGACGTTTGGACTGTGAGAATTAATTGCGTCGGGTGTGCAGATGCGTGCAGTCATTGAGTCATCGCCGATGCCATGGGATTCAATAACAGCTTCGCCGCAGAGGAACATCGGTGCTGACGTTAGCTGGGGCACTACTTTTCTGCTGCAGGCATGGTCGGCTTTTCGGCGTTCGCCATTCTGCTCAACTGCCTCACTCTTCTCGTGGTCTTCGGGTGGGCGATGTGGGTTGCCCCTGCAAGGCCGCGCCGATTTGCACGAGCCTGCTGTCATCCAAGTATATAGCGCCGTAAGCGAGTGGAACTTGTGCAGTATGTGCGATGTGGTTCTCTAGCAGTCGCGGTTTCGTAGTTATAAATTGATGACGTGCATGATGATTACGACGACGATGATGATGATCATCATCTTTCCTCGCCGTTCCCTGTGGATCGGGGCATAGACCTAGGTCTAGGTACTCACGAAGCTTCGGAACTACCTCCGCATGGCTTATGTTGGCCGCCTTCTTCGAGCTTGGGCGACTTCAAACTACAGCACCAATGTTTCAAGCAGGAAGGAGACCGAAAAATGGCCAGGACACTTCCGCTTGGTCAGGGGCACCAGGCATCCCAAGAGGTTTCAGCTTGGCTCGGGCTCCCTGGGGTCCGCAAGAAGGGAGCGTATAGGGGTTTGAGCGTCAGACTCCGACCACATGACTTACCTGCGCCGCTTCTGCAGTGATTTTGCAGCGCACTGATGGCAAAGGATCCAGGTCCAGGCCTACTTGATGCAGAAAGAAGCTGCTGTCCGCATTGTCTCACTAACTTATAAAACTTTAAAACGCAACTTGCTACAAATATGACCATCTTGTTGTTCGCCCATGAAGGTTTCACATAGTGTCTTTCCGTCGGCGCTGGAAATTCATGATTCAGAAGATGAGGCCGGGTCGACTGCCTGGTCGGAGACGCTCATCCAATGTCAGCGTTGTTTGTGCTCGCGATGCATCACTGACGTGCTGTTGGTGCAACCTAGGCAGCCTAGTCTGCAAATCCCCGGCCCCCCCAAGCGCTTCCCTGAGATCACTTACCATTCCGGAGGCCGTCCGTCCATTGGTGGATGATGGTCATCCTGATCAAGGCCATTCCCAGCTTGGCCGTTGAGGATTTCGATTTGGGCGCGCTAGTCCGGCAAATCTGTCGCAGTTCGGCCATGTTGGCTCAAAGCCGAGGAGTCAAGTGTCGCATGAGCGTCTTCATGCGCAGCTGCCAAGCCTGCAGTTGTCTTTACCGGATTGTGGCAGTCCCATCCTTGCAGGTGATGTGGTAGTTGATCTAAAGCTCCTTGCGCCATCATTTGTATGAACGGCCAACTGCATAGCAAACTATGCCTTTGCGAAAGTTCCGCCAAAGTTACTTCTATTTTTGCGAAGGTCATCTGTATCTGTTGAGCCTACTTGCCGTGCTATTAACTATTACTATTTCTATTTTGAAGTACTATTGACAATTACTGTTACTATTGCTATCACCATTACTATAGTGCTGCTACTATTGCAATACTGTTACTGTCACTGATACTAGTACTAGTACTGGTACTATTACTAGTGCCGGTACTGGTACTAGTACTACGGCTAATACTATTACTGTGGCTCCCTATTGTCAATATTGTGAGCATTGCTACGATTATTACTATCATTACTGCTATTACTATTACCACCACCGCTTCTCATGCTCTTGCTACTGCAACTGCCACTGCCGATTCTACTCCTGCTGCTGCTACAACTACAGCTCCTATTGCTCTACCTGCCATACCTACTACCCACAACCTTGTAGGACCCACCGCCGACAGCAACTACCTCCCGCCTCTTACGTCCTTCCTCCGGTTCACGCTATGTGCAGTGCCTCGTAACGCCATCGATCCTAAGTGTAAGCAACGACAAACCCAAAAATTAGGTTCCCGTACAGGGTTTTGCGCGTAAGTTCCGCGTAAGTGACGTTAAAGTCGACATTGCCAGATCAAGGCCACCCCCCGATGGACATCGTCAGCAATCCAACCCGTAAGACAACCTGAAGCAGCTCTACAGAAGCCCTGAAGCCGGTAGGAAAGGCTCCCAGAAACTCTCGATTGATTAGGCCCCCAAAAGCTTTGCAATCGAGAAGCTTTCAGGAAACTTTGTGAGTTTAAGACGGCCTTATAACCAGCCCTTTCAATTATTGTGGTTTTCACGCAGCCCTGAAGCCCTAGGAAGCCTGCCAGAAGCTCTCACATCCAATTCCCGTAGCTTGTCATCGAGAAGCTTGTAGCTTTTCACTCAGGGTTCTAGCTTGCAAAGGTATGTAAGTATGCCTTCGCGAAAGTTCCGCGATGGTGGTGCGAAAGTTACCTTTTTTTGCGTGAAGAAGGTCATTACGGGATGAAGGAATTTAGATCAACAGCGATGTATATGTAGGCGCTGAGAACAACAGATCATCTTCAATCCGCAAGCCCACCCAGCCAAGCCTTCATCTGCCTCTGCCGTCAAGACCCAACCCACTGACGGTTTGGGGGCTGAGTGTTGTGTGGATGAGCAAAACTTGGGATGGTGTAGATCTTGGACAGATGATCCTAGATGTTGCCAGGGCTTGTGGTTGGCACTGACATCAGTGCTGTGGAACACCACGATGGCCCAGTCGCTTTGGATCTGTGCAGGCAGGGCCTGAGAGAGCGAGAGCGAGCGAGAGAGAGAGCGAGAGCGCAGCGTGGAAACTTAAACCTGCCTTGACCTGCAGGTGCGCGTGGGCGCGAGGGGGGGGTTAGCCGCCTTCCTCCTCTGTCCTGGTACTGGTAGAGCGAGAGAGAAAGAGAGAGAGAGAGAGAGAGAGAGCGCAGCATTTTACTTTGGCCGTTGGCGCCAGCCAGTGTCAGTCAGAGACCATTTGTGTGGGTTGACAGGCCTTCTGGCTTACTTCACTGGCAGCTACGTTCTGCTGCCATGGCGAAGCGTCTTTGTGGCCATGCTGGACAGCAGCTGCTAGCGGTCCCGGCGTCCCAGCGCAAGTTCTGCAGTCTGCTGTCTTCGGCCCGGCCAGGGCTCCTGGCCAGCCTAATCCAAGCTATCTCAGAAATGAGATCTCAGCTCCAGTCTCCAGCCGAGGGCCAGTTGCATGAGTTTGCATTTTCGTGCAAGCTACAAAATGCATCTCTTGAAGAAGCACAGACAAGGAAAAGTGTCTGTGAGAGGACATCGGAACCCACGTCTCCATCTTGTTGCTCTGCCTGCTCCTCCCGTTCCTCTTGACATTCAAGCCCGAGGAGTCTGATGTAGCTTCGCTCCTTGGCTGATTTGGCCTTCGAGCCCTCTTTGGCCTTGCCCTCACAAGCCCGACAGGGGAGCGGACAAGCTGTTCAAACCATTCCTCAGCCAAATACCCCAGCCAGGATGTTCTTCCTTATTTTGGCCGGTCTCTCCTTCCTGGCCGTGACGACCAGCATCCTCTGGATCCTTTACAAGGCGAGACAAATTAGACCGGCAGGCACTAACTTCGCACCGAGTAATTAGTCGTATGCAGGAGGTGTGCAAGCTCATGTTCAGTTGTTTGCATCTGCTGCAGCGCTGCAAGTCTTGGCAGCAAAAGCCTGTGGTCGGAGAGAGGGCGGGCCAGCAGGCCGTGTGGCCTGGCTACAAGCGCAGAAGGCCGCCGACATCCGCCGATGGTTTCGCCGCTTCTGCAACACAACACAACAGGCTGAGGTGTCAGTGTTCAGCAAGTCTCAGGCCTTTCTCAGCAATTTTCATAGCTCGCCACATCGTGAACCTGCATTTCTGGTCGCTGAGCTCCCGCCCCTGTAGTCTAGACTTAATGTGCGAGCGAACTTGCAGAGATTTCGACGGGTGCCGGCTTTCACACACCTGCCAACTGCTACTGCATGAACTAAACTTCGACAAAGCCTGCGAATAGCAGTCGGAAGTGGAGCGCGAAGCCCGCTCACCAGGGAGAAGAGCTTGAACTTCTATGCAAAGCGGATGGCCGAGGTCCTGTCATGCTCGCAACCACTGTCCGGGGTTTGATCAAGCTGCGAATGCGGATACGGCGATCTAGCATGTTCATGTTTCTGGCTTCGGCGCAGTTCTTTTGGCCTTTCTGTTCTTGCAAGTGGGAGTGGTTCGATGGTTTTTGGCCTGAAAAGGCTAGTCTTGGTCTCGAGCAATGTTGGGACTTTGTTGCCTGTGGATTTAGCTTGCGTTTCGAACGATCTCGTACGGAGGTCTTCCCGTATGCCACGGACCCCCGCATGCTCGCCGACCTCATGTCGGAAATTCCGGCATTGGACATTGTGAACTTGAAGTATGTGGCTTGCTTGCGACAGGTGATGCAAAGGTTTGAGAGTGGTTGGAGTGTGGGTTGAGGGGCTAGCAGGTAGCAGCTGGCAGCCGTTGCCTCTTGTAGTCCCTTCCTCCTTTTGCAACCAAGTCCTGACACTCCGATGTCCCCACTGAAGATTCAGGGCCGACCATCATAAGACACGCCTCATCATTGGTGTTGATGTGAAAGGCTTTCGTGTTTTTAGGCTGCCGCTTCTATGCCGTAGCTAACGACGCTGTCCACTATCGATGCTGACTGTCTGCAGTGGATGCTCTGAGGGGTTCGATCCGGAAGGCTCGGGATAGTTCGAACGAGTCGGGCACAGGCTGCGTTTGTCTTGCGGCGTGTGCCGTAGCCCAAGGTTGCAACGATGATGTCGGCAGAAATCCTCGACAATCGTGTGCCTGGGCGCCTTGTTTGGCAAGAGGCCAGCCCCACTTGTCGTCCGCCATGCTGATGGCTTGCACGGGCATGTCAGAGCAGCGCGACGGATCAGCTGGCACAGCACCCTAGCAAAGCGCACCTTATCGACTCAGAGTTTTGCCAGGGCCAGTGCAGCTTTCAAACCCCCAGTAAAATCTTCTGGATTTTGTCAGACCATGTCAGACCCTGGCACTGGGTTGTCGCCTTCAGCTCTTTCAAGCGCCGGCAGGAAAAGAAAACAGATCCTGAAGAAGACCGGTTTGTGTGCGGCATCACGCGATCACAGGCAGGTCTGCAGCGGAAGTTCCCAGTTCTCTGCTTGTTTGTCGCACCTTCAATTTTGTACAGGGTGTAGACGTTGAAGTGTTGGCAGCGGGGGAGTTTGGAAGCGAACATGTTTAGACTTGTGTAGCAAGCCCCGGAATGATGTCAGCTTCACTTAAGTGCTGGTGTGGTGCCGAACGGTGCCCATGAAGAACCAAAGGGGAGCCGATTTTGTCCACTCGGCTCGAAGGGCTACTGACATGTCGCAATGAAGGCATCCAGGTCTGCGACTTGATGCGTCATGCAAACACCGCTTCCAAGACTTAATCCGTGGAATTCTTCAGATGACAGAGTGCACAAGCTTTGGAGGTGACATGGGCTTAGTCCAACTCGTCGCCGGGCTGCGTGACTGGCGAATTGTTCGGCTGAGAAAAAGAATGTGGCCCTAGGTCCTAGGCCCAGTGAGACATCTGCCAGACAAACCCTAGGCCTAGCTTTTGGCATTCTCATTTCCAATGTCACGGAGTTGTGCAGCTCCAGGTCTGTCGCAAAAGCCCTAGCACAGAAGCGCGGAGTGCTCCGACAGTACATCCAGCGTCTAACGTGTAGAAAGTGGCCATCGTCTGTCACGACAACCACAAGCCGTTGACATGGTTGTCCTTTTTCAGGTTACCGCCTGGAGTGTATAGAAGAGGATCAGCCATTACTGGTAACATTGTGCGTGATGATCTTTGAGAGCCATGCGAATCGTTTTCGCATGGGGAGCTGCAGCGGTACATGCGTTCTGAATTCTGTGTCTTGTCTCAGCGCAAAGCCAACAGAGCCAGCAACATCAAACCGGACAAACGTGCTGACGCCACCAGCTCCGTCCGGATCAGTTAGTTGTTTGTTTCACGGAAAGTTCGCATTGCTTGAGAGCTCATCAGTGACTCTTAGCACCCTGAGGCACCTTGTTGCTTGATTCGGCCCACTCAGGCCAAAGTTGACGGCCTCGGTAAGTGTAAGCGATGTGGACTTCGGTCTACCAAAGGCTTCTTCAATCGCTTCAGGGCAAACCTGTAAAATAGCACGATTTTCAGACGTGTCCGTCACCTATGCTGCACGCAGACAAACATCGATAGTATCCTTGGGTCTTCAAGGAATGAGCATGTGCCTCAAATTCGATCCGTTTCCTTGCTATCCCTTCGGCAAAGCCGGTGGACGCTTGGTCGAACCAAGTAAGGCTCTTCGCGAGTTCTGGCTCGCCGTGAAGCTTTTGAGACCTCCAAGTAACTAATTCGCTCTCTCGGATTCCATCTGCTTGTATTGACCATCATCCGCTCCTCAATTGCCGGGTACAGCTCAGATAGCTCCGCGTGGAAGTTACAAGACATTAGCAACATTACCTCTGCAGGGATGATCTAAGCCCGACTCAAGTCGGAATGCTCACTGTTCGCATTGTGGTCTCATTGCTCCTAAGCAGCGCTGGGCGCGCACACCGCAGAGCAGAAAATCTTCAAGGCCGTCTGCAACATGACATGGCTCAGGGAATGCTGACGCATAGTCCTGCAGCTTGGCCGATTATCTCAGGTTTGCGTCCGCAGCAGTGCTTGTTCAAGAGTGCTGATGATGCCCCTATCCCGAGACGGGCTCCTTGGCGCACGGCACAACAGGCAACCTGTCCTAACGCATGAGTCACCAGAGCCGGAAAGACCTGTCTGTTGCTTTTCGGAACTCGCCCACACCAAGGGGAACAAGGAAACTGACTGCGTCTATAGTAATTACAACGAACAGTGAACCGACTCGTTTTCTCTACGCCCTTGACTTTGCCAAGACTCGGCTGGGGGGACGGGTGATCAACGGGGGGTGTCTTGGACTACCCTTCGTGATGTCCCTGGCCCGCCATCATGTCCAAGTCTGCGGGAAGCCGTCGCAGGCTCTTAGTCTTTAACCTCTGAAGCTCCCTGATACGTGTGCAGTCGCCCGCCGCCGAGTGCATGGCTTGTCTTTTTTGCGCAGTGCTTCGAGGTTGTCCGATCGTGTATTGCAAGCTTCGCCTTTTGCATGAAGGCTTGTGATGGGGGTGCCTTGAATACTTATTCCATGGGGGGGGTGCGCAAAGTCTCGGAACACTTCTCGCAAAATCATCTGTTTTTTTGTGGGACCACGTGCAAGACCACGTTGAGGGGGGTGAACAGTGACATTAGGAACGGTAGATCTGGCAACCCGGGTCTGGCATCTTAAATCATTTCGGATCCTCGGACTAAAGCCTTGCAAGGCCACACAACCCTCAAGCGAACCCTGCGACCTCCAAAACGCCCTGACCTCCGTGCACTAAGTTTCCGACACGAGGCAATCCCGAGCAATGCGTGCGACAGCATGTACACACGACTGGGAGTTCGGTGGACAAATGCTGCAAAGTTCCATGTAGACGGACAGTCATGATTGTGGTGTACCGACCGAGGATGGCGTCTTGCCTCGCACTATTGACGCCGCTTGGTTCTAGTGGGAATCAGGGACGATGGGACGAGCTTACCAGGTAGCTTCGGACCGATGTTCGTTCGAATTCGAACGTCTTCCGAGATTTCAGCAAGTATCTGCAGTTGTAGTTTGCCCTCGAAATCACACGCCGTCATTGCGTGGCAAGCTGAAAGTCGTAGTCATGAGCAAGACTTAGAACAGGATCACTCGAGCGCTGGTTGCCAATCTGCAACACACTGCGACTACCTCTTCAACTCTTTCACCGTCGCTCATGCAAGGTTTGCAGTGTCCGTGATCTCCGTCAATGGCGAGTGTTTGTCAACAGCCGTTCCAGCTTCTGCTCGGCTGAATGTGACCATCGAAGGTCGGGCGAGCAAACGGCCCTGAAATGTGCAGACACAAACGCCTAACGCAGAAGTTGTGTCTTCCACAGGCGTGTCCATGCCAATTGGACTACCCACTGTCAATTGGGACTCAGCGCCTTGAATGCAATCGCTGCAGGGGCGCCGAACTGCATGAGTCGCACCTGTGACCGTGCCAACCTATGGTTTTTGTGAATGTTTGACTGCGCTTTGGGAAGGAAGGGAGCGCGTTTTCCGATTTCGTACTTCGCACAGACATGCTAAGAAGTGCGAGCAAGAAGTCAGCTGCAGCAAAGGCCAGGATCAATCGCGAGATCATGGTGATTGTGTCCGCACCTGAGTTTGCAGCTGATCGTGGCTACCTTCAGATGAAAACTCTAAATGTTCAAGTTGTCCGCAAAAACTCTGGCAAGACGAAGTCCAGCTAAGCGGTGGATTTTCAGATTTTTGTATTGCAGACGGTGGATCAATTGCAGCCGGAAGGGGAGGTGGATGGTTTTAATCGTGATGCGGTAATGGGGGAAAAGAGGATCCCTTTGAGACCTTTATCGAAGTCGCCCGGAGTCGAGGCGAACTTCCTGCGCACATGCGACAGACAGGTAATGCTACGATAGCACCCGCGTGTGGTTGTGTTGCTGGGTAAACGAAACCCGTAGGCAAAGATTGCATGCAGCACTCGTAGATTCAAAGCAATTCTTGTCGCAAAGGTCATGTGCTTCTCGTTCGTCGTTCCAGCAGATGTTTTCTTGTGCTTCCATTGTGAAACTCAATAGCATCATGGTCAGCAAGCCGTCAAACCGAGCGGCCTGCAAGTTCCAGCGAGCTGTGCGACTGTCTCCCGGTCGCTAGCAGTGACGAAGAAACTTCATAAAGGAAGGCGAGCTTGGCACACTTGTCGCGGGGGCATGTCGCCCTGCGGGGGACACGCAGAATGAAGTTCTGGAAATCACGAAGTCTGATTCTGCTTCTTAAATCTTTGCAGAGCCAGGTTTCGCGAAATCCTTGGTTACAATGCGGAAATCACCCGGACCATTTCCGGCTCCGACAAGGCACGATGGGTTGATACCCCAGATCTGGAACCAACACGGACGTCTGACATGCCCGCGTACTGCAGAGGATCCCCACAGACAGGTGTCAGCCGCCCCTGAGACTTGGGACAGTCCCATTGCAGGCCTTCCTGGCAGTCGCCGGCTGCCAAGACATAGATGCATCCACAATGGAGGACAGAGGCTTTTCTGGGGCTCCGGAACCGCCTTTCCTGCTTGTGAGTCACAGTCTTCACGTGCTGCTCGATGCGTTCTGAGGACAGAAAATGTAGTCTTCCCGGCGTCCCCTTCGAGGATCACATCACGATGGAGGCCGTGGCTCAGGGCAGGTCCACCGTAAGGCGGAAGCACGAGCATTTCTACAACCAATGGTGCAATGAGCTTGCAGGTCTGGGGTGCCACTGCTGATGGCACAGTAACTGCGGTCACCAGCTGTTGCCCAGCAATCGCTCCGAAGCAGGCGGAGACTCTTTTAAAACTATCTCTACGAGAGGTAAATTAGAGGTTTGGCAGTCGCCAGGGCTTTATGAAGCAACCTTCTGTCTCAAACTTCCCTCGTAAGTGCCGCTGCCAGGCAGGAGTCTTGTCGTATCGTGGCATCGAAAACGAGCCGCACAGCTTCACTAAGGCCATGGGTTTGTAATTGGAGTTCCGCAGGCAAAAGAGGTCCGGACCTTAAGCTCGCAGAAGGTACCCGCTGAGGGGCAAAGCCAGATATTGCTCGCACGGCAGTAGGTGTTACAGTATTGAGCCTCTCTTCAGCGGTGGAGCTGAATGTTGAAGCTCGTACAATGAGTCAGCAACATCGCTGACATTAATTGACATTATCACCAGCACCGACAGCAAACATGATCGCCAGCAATGCCCGTGCTTCCCAGCTTATATGACTTTCTATTGCCATGCTGAGGTTCGTCTTCCCGCACTCCTACAGTCCAGCTATGGAGAATTCCCTGTCCCTGACTTATTACAAGACCTGGTGCCTCGGTGGCACTCGGCAGAGCAGACTGCAGGTTTACGGTGCTGTTGCTGAGAGTCTTGAGCCGTTGGTTCTCAGTTTGACGAACCTGATTTCAATTATTTCAATTATTTCAATTCGGGGGGGGGCCAAATAATTGAAATAATTGAAAGCCCTTATATCTTAAGTTGGCGCCAGTCAAAGCCCCACATTTCAAT